ATCACTACACTCTTGTCCATGCCCATGAGTTCTCTCTTTTTTCCTTTTTCACTCAATCCCTCTGCCCCCCTCCCCCCACTAGGGCTGTCTGCCTGCATTCTATATATGAGTTTTTCCCTGTTTTGCTTGGTAGTTCAGTTCATTAAATTCCACATATGAGTGAAATCATGTGGTACTTGTCTTTCTCTGACTGGCTTATTTCAGTTAGGATAATGTTATTCAGGTCCATCCATACTGTTGCAAAGGTTAAAATTTTCTTCCTCTATGGTAGAGTAGTATTCCATTGTGTAAATGTACCACAGCTTTTTTATCCGTTCATCTACTGATGGAAACTGGGCTGCTTCCAAATCTTGGCTATTGTAAATAATGCTGCAGTGAACATAGGGGTACATACATTCTTTCAAGTTAGTGTTTTAGGTTTCTTCCAATAAACCCCCAGATGTGGAATTTCTTTCTTCCTTCTTTTCTTTCTTCCTTCCTCCTTCTTTCCTTTCTCTCCTTCCCTCCCTCCCTCCCTCGTTCCCCCCCTTTATCTCTTGCTGCCTTCCTCTTCCTCTTCCTCTTCCTCTTCCCTCTCCCTATCTCCATATGTGTGTGTGTGTGTGTGTGTGTGTGTGTGTGTGTGTATCTCCTCACTACCTGAAATTAGAGTGTTACTGTGAAACTTTTCATAACTTGGAATGGCATAAAGTGAACAGAAGTCCCAACTTTTAGAAAGTTTCCATTATGCCACTTCACTTTTCTGAAAGTCTTACATTAGTATGGTAATGGCTTTTTTTGTAGAGGTGAAAATAATCTTTGGATGTTTTTCACTTAGTTAAAACAGGTACTAATGTAGGTCTTTCATAAAAGCAAAGTGGTATAATGTGAACTTTTGGAAAGCTGGGTATACTGTATATCTATCTATCATTCCTCTTTTTGTAATAAATGAGAATTTAGAAGTAGTCATAGTACTGTCTTGGCTGAAAGCCAGTATTTTTATTTTTGAAAGATTACCCTAGCCCTGGCTGGGTGGCTCAGTTGGTTGGTCATGGGCTCAATTCCCAGTCAGAACACATACCTAGGTAGGACACATACCTATAGTCCAAGCCAGTTCGAGAGGTAACCAATGGATGTTTCTCTCTCACATCGATGTTTGTGTCTGTCTGTCTGTCCCTCCCTTCCTCTATCTCTAAAATGATCAAATAAGGTGTTCTTGGGCCTGGTCAATGTGCCTCATGGGTTGAGCATCAACCCATGAGCCAGGAGGTCATGGTTTGATTCCAGGTCAGGGCGCATGTCTGGGTTGTGGGCTCAATTCCCAGTGGCAGGTGTGCAGAAGGAAGCTGATTGAAGATTCTCTCTGATCATTGATGTTTCTCTCTCTCTCTCTCTCTCTCTCTCTCTCTCCCTCTTTTTCTCTCCCTTCCTCTCTCTGAAATCAGTAAAAATATATTTAAACAAACAAACAAACAAACAAATGTGTCCTTGGTTGAGAATGAAGAAAAATTACTCTACCACACCTACTATAGAGTCACTATATGAGGTTTGGGAGCTTGGCTATGATAGACTTGTAGTGCTTGACCTAAAGCCTGGTGCTCACTTTTGGAAGTAATGATTCTATAGTGTTTATATGGGTATCCTCTATTGTTAGATATAAAATTTATTCAATATTTTATGAAAATAATTAAAATTATCTTCTTGAGAAAAATATTTTTGAAAAAATAACTTCAGTTTTTAAATTGCTTCAAAATGGAAGATTTAGAGAATTGTCAGGAGGAAAAGGCCAACTTTGAAGAACTATACATGAAATTTCACTACAATCAAGAGAACTCAGCATGATCTGAATCTCAAACATTGTAAAATTATTTTGATACCCTTGTTTGCAGAACTGTCTTTTCTTCTCTGAGGGCATTTATGTGTGCATTTAAATAGAGTAAATAATGAAACATGTGCCACTTCCCTGATTCATATTTAAGTAAATGAACTCATTTTTTTGTTCATGGAATTAACTTTTTTATTGTACAGTAATTTCTTTATTTTTAATAAGTAAATTCCTACATAGAATTTCAAGTTTATTTGCTTCAAATTGTTAACTTTCATACAAGGAAGCCATGATACTTTCTCAGTTTCTCAAAATAAGTATCTGGTACTGCTGTAAAAGTTATTGCTTATACTAATTTTTTTTAATTAAGTGAAAATGAAAAAATGAGATTTAAAACACTACTTATTTTTACTGTTATTTTGTAGACTAGTTAACTATACCAGACATTTTATTTTTATTTATTTGATATTTTATTAGATTTTTATATGTGTTCTAATTTCAGGCCTTTGAAGACAATTTAATCGAAGCAAAGAAAGAAATTGAAGTTTCACAAACTAAATATAATGCTCTATCATTACAGTTGACAAATAAACAGACTGAACTTATCCAGAAGGATATGGATATTACCCTGGTTAGGCAAGTATATTTAGTATTTAATTTAACATTATAGAAATGTCATTAGTTATTCAGAATGGCACCATTTATGTTTATTGTTAATACCCCAACTGGACAAAAATATGTCTTCTGGGGGTACATATGTTTGTGCATTGAAACTATCTGGAATTGTACACACCAAACTGGAAATAGTTGACTGGGGAGGATCTGGTTTCACAGGATTGGCAAAAGCATGCTCTAAGAGTAGCCTAGTTTCAGTTTTTAACAAAGATAATGCATTCATTTATTGTTTTCTTTTTAAATTCCTAGCCATAGTGTAATATAATAATTATTGTTATAATGAAAAATAATGAGAAACCCATTTTGACTTTATGTTCTAAATAGTTTTAGTTTGTGAAATATTCTATATCAAAATAGTTAATTTTATTGTAATATCTGTAAAGTAGGATTACTTGAAAAACTTGTGTGTTTAAGCATTTTGAAAGATTTTAAACTAACTGTTAATTTAATTTATAATTACCTTTATCAGAAAATAGTGTTAGAATAAATAATAAATATTTAAATACATACACAAACATGCACATATACATGTCATGTATATATACATACAGGGTGTCCCCCCAAAATGTATACACACTTAATAATTATTCTCAGTGTGTATGTAAGTCAGTATATGTAGGAGGAAACCCTATATATACACATGTATGCATGTGTACATTTTTTTACTTAATTAAAATAAATCATACGAAGTTTATCGTATACTTCTCTAAGCACAATTTCATCCTTTGGTACTGCCACTATATATAGCATATATAAAACATATTTATATATTATATTTATGTATAATTATAATTAGTATTATATATAATTTTTACATAATTATAGTATTATACATGAAAATTATATATTTACATGTATTTAGCATATTGTGAGATATCTACACATATATAGATATCAAGGAAGGATTTTTGCTTTGATAATAGTTAATGTATACATATTAATCTGTTATCCAAACAAAAATTCATTTTGACACATTTTAAATCTTCATATCATGGGAGTGAGAAAAGTATAAACTTTATAGATGATAGACTGGTCGGCTTATTCACGCATGGTTAAATTACTTTTTAGGTCATAGACAATTAAAAATAGTTTATTAAATTTGTTGGGGTGACATTGGCTAATAAAATTATATATGTTTCAAGTGTACTATAATACATCATCTGTATACTATATTGTGCATTTACTACCCAAAGTCAAGTCTTCTTCCATCATCATATATTTGACTCCCCTTTAACCTTGTCTACCTCCTCCCACCCCGCTTCCCTCTGGTAATCACCATACTATTTTCTGTGTCTATGAGTTTTTGTTTGTCTCATTTGTTCATTTGTTGATTTTAGTTTAATATTTCACATATGAATGAAATCATATGTGTCTTACTTTTTCCATCTGACTTATTTCACTTAGCATGATATTCTCAAGGTTCATCCATGTTTTCTCAAATAGCAGTATTTCAGAAAGATTATGTTTTTATCTCCATCATGTCCCCTTTCTTAATGCAACATTTACTTAGTTCTCCTGGCTAACATGCCTTGACTATATACTGTGATGGAATTTTATCCTACATTCATTGTCTAACTCCGTTGATAATTCTTGTCAATATTATTCTTGAAAAATGGCAATATTCCGCAAGCCTTATTACTGTGGGTTACCCCTCCCTTCCTCTTCTGAGGATTACATTTGCTAGAGGCATCGCGCCATTATTCTCTTCTCTCCCTTCCCCCATTTTTGGACTATTATTTTTTGCAACTTTCAGGTTTTTTAATAGTTACAGATGGTACTATAGTCTGAATGTTTGTGTCCACCCAAAAATTCATATGTTGAAATACTAATACTTAATGTGATGGCATTAGGAGGTGGGGCCTTTGGGCAGTGCTTAGGTCTTGAGAGTAGAGCCTTCATGAATGGGACTAAAGTTTTTTACAAAAAAGACGTCCCTGGGCCACCTACTGCCTTCTACCTACCGTATGAGGATACAGTAAAATTCCATCACAGTATATAGTCAGAAATCTATGACCTGAAAGAGGGCCCACACCAGACCCACTGACTTCCAGACTATAGAATATGAGAAATAAATTTATCTTGTTTGTAAATTACTGTCTATGATATTTTGTTATAGCAGCCTGAAGGGACTAAGACAGATGGTGTATGTACATGTTTCTGTATGGGTGTAGGGGTTGCTGGATTTGGTGAATATTAATATTCTAAACCTCTAATATTTCTTCCATATTAATATTCACCCATCTTTAACAACTGTTTGCATATCTCTTTTCTTTTTTCTTTTTTAAAAAAAGATGTATCTTATATGAATGAATCACCCCTTTGAGGTTATAGGTAAAGAAAAGTTTCCATTAAAAAATAGTCTCCAGCCCGCCTGGGCTTGGCTCAGTGGTTGAGTGTCGACCTAGGATCCAGGTGATCAGGGTTCGATTCCCGGTCAGGGCACATGCCCAGGTTGCAGGCTAGCCGATCAGTAACTCTCATCATTGATGTTTCTATCTCTGTCTCTCCCTCTCCTTTCCTCTCAAATCAATAAAGATATATTTAAAAAAAAAAAATAGTCTCTAAAATATATACCATAAAGTGTATTTCTGTGAAATATATATTTATAAACATTTCTCTCTTCAAGTTGAATATGCAAACTATTTTTTATTTTTATATGATCTGTATCACACAGGATTCACTAGCACAGAAATCTTTCCCAAAGGTGTGGTTTTCCTGGACCCTTAGTGTCATCATTACTACCATCACCACTTCATTTGACTTCCTACTTGCCAGTTTCACCCTCAGTAGGTTGGAAGGACTGGTTTTGCCTTAATGTTCTCTTCTTCCTTCTGACTTTTTTTCCTTGTCATTTCCTTCAAGCTAGATTAGAGGAGTCGCAGAAGTTCAGCCCAGGCCCTGAGGTTGCAAACTGATGGTGCTTTAAGGAACTTTGGTTTGAAAACTTCATTGGCCTTTTGGGATTCTTTTTAGTACTTTTAAAGTTCTTTATAATATATGATGAAAGATTGTCTTACCCTGTATTCAAAACTGTCTGATAACTGTCGTTGGCATTAGTACTTATCAATTCTTGGAACTGAAATGTAAGTTAATTTCAGTAAGAAGGTAGGTACTATGTCTATATATCCAGGATTTTTATTACTATCAAGCTATAAAAGAAAGTTGATAAGTATTTGGCTTTGAAAGTCATAGTAGTTCTATCAATACTTCCTAGGTATATGTGATTAATAGTAAATACTTTATATGTTATTTCTTTTATTAATATTTTTGCCTGCAGTAAAAAATAATAGATGAAAAAATTGGAAGCTGATCTATAACTTTAGATGAACACAATTATTTAACTGAGATGATCTTTATTAATGCTTCTCTCTTTTTATTGCTTTCTTTACACAGGAAGGAGTTGCAAGAACTGCAGAATCTTTACAAACAGAACAGTGCACATACAGCACAGCAAGCAGAGCTGATCCAGCAGCTTCAGGTTCTGAATATGGACACTCAGAAAGTCCTGAGAAACCAGGAAGATGTTCATACAGCGGAAAGTATATCATATCAAAAAGTATGCTTTTATTCTGTCATAAAAATGTAAAGTTACACGTATGAGCTTAACAAATATGTAGAATTCAATCTTTTTCAGATTTCAGCATTTCTTTATTCCCTTTTATATATGTTTCTTCAAAATTAAAAATGAAACATGATTCAGTCTGGTAATATTTAAAATTTTGTGAGTTTTCTTTATGGCTGTTAAAGCTAAAACATTTAAAATATAGATGTAAATTTATTCTGCAGGACTTTTTTTTATAAATTTCAGTTTTGATATCTACTATGAAACATACTAGGACTGTAGCCCCCAAACCAGAATGGATTTGTAGAATGGAATTAGCCTTCTATTATGAGAAATTATTCGTGTGATTCTAGTTTATGACCTAAAGTGGTCTTCCCTTATAGAATTTATGTATTATTTTATTCGCAAATTTGCTGTACAAACACAACACGTATATTGATGAGTTCTTCAGGATCAATATTTTCCAAGCATTTTTCTTTATTTTATGTGTTTGTTTTGAGTAGTCACATTACTTTCCAGTTGTTTAAGGATTCCCTCAGGAAGGCTTATCCAGCTATTTAGGTATGCTGACTGACTCAGCAGCAATAATTATAGCTAATAATTAAAATACACACCTTTATTGAATTCCCTATATTTTGTATCATGTACTAAGTTATTTATTAGAAGTAAGTTAGTTCCTATGTAAGTCAGCCCTATGAGATCAATGTTATTCCCTCATAATAGTTGAGGCAACCAAGGCTTAGAGCAATCTATGTTGTTTTGGGATTTTTTTTCTGTTTAAACTTCCTCTTCTAAAAAAAGCATCATGAAAGTTCAGTATCTATAATTAATATGAAATAAATAACCATTAAGTAAACTTTAAACACATACTTTTAAATGATGCTTTGGAACCATGCCTTTCCATCTACATTATGTGTTCCCTTTGGATTTCCCTCAGGGTGTGGGTGATATCAAGCAGCAGGGTAGCCCTATCTTCTCCACTCGAATAGAGCTGGCTCCTCCTTTTTGTTTTATGTGGGATTGCCCATTATGCTTTTGTTTCTAAACCAGTCTCCATGGCTAAAACCACGTGAAAAATTGGACCTTATTAATAACTTAAAATTTTCTCTCTTTCACTTGTATATTTAACTCAAACATTTCTCTTTTTCTTAATTTTTACTTAAAAGTCCCCATACCCATGGTAGTTTATATACAAATATAGCATTTCTCATTCTCTGTGAAAAGAGCCCCCATCATTATTCTTCAGCCACTGATTATACAAATTTTCTTTCTATTACTTTGCTGTAACACTGAATTTTTACCTTTTTCACCTCCTGCTGATTTTTTATAAGACTTGTTTTTCTTTTTTCCTAGAATATGTATTAGTTTGGCGTTCAGGATTTTTGAATTTGGGAATGATCACACTGCTTTATTTATCACAAGTGAACAGTATGCTATTGTTCAGACTTCCAGTGTTCATTTATATTAAGATTTTAAAATATATTTTTACATAAATTAATTTTATTATTTCTAAATAATAATTATGGCCTAGCTGTAAGACTCTGGTGAATAAAAAATAAATAAAATATTATATTAATAGTTTACCTCCAAGCCTTACTAAACTTACTTCTTCAAGAATTAGGTATTTTTAATTTATTTCTAATGGAGTTTCTCTGTTTCCTCTTTCTGTCAGTTTTTCTCTCTTCTTCACTTATATTTTTGCTTCCCTCCCATTTCTTCTCCTTTCTCCCATTTATTAAGTTGATTTGTATCATAGTATGCATTTCATTATCTGAAGAGATTAAAACCAACAGCAGTTGCCCAGTGGTAGGATGAGGGGTGTGAGGAGAGAATACACAGGTGGAAAGAGAAAAGTCAAAAGAGTTTTGAGCACAGGAAAAAGGTGTGATGTATTTTTCCCCAGATCTGCATAACAGATCATTATTTTAAAAAATAAAACTACCTAACAGATAATGTTCGGCATTCCTCTGGAAGAAAACACACAGAGAAATAGAAGTAAGCTAGTGTGTTTTCTTCCTCTTAGCCATTTATAGAACTTTTAAAAAATTTTTATCTTTGCAAATGTATACATGTGTATAATTTAAATAAAGATGGGACTTGTATCAGTATTCATGATTTCTGGACTACCTAACATGTTTGGGGTACTAAATGTATTTTATCACCTTTTGTTCTATTTAATGGGAATTGCATGACAGGAGCTAATATCAGTCTAGGAGAATAAGGAGTTAGGTTATACATACTTTTAGTTTAAACTGCATGTTAAATCAGAATTTTTCTTCTTCCTATTTGTACTATAAACAGATATAATTTTCACATGTAGAATTTATTATCTCAATCAGAGTGGCAAATTGTATACTTACTCACTAAATGTGGAAATTTTATTCTTTAAACAAATTAGTCATTGAGTCACAGAGCATATATTTTTATTTTTTTAAGGTAAATAAAATATCATCTTGTTTCTCAACGGTAATAAAAATATGGGTAAAAAAATGCTGTAGCCTCAGCCTATGAAAATTAAAGGACTTGGAGTTTGACATCCTATTTCTGGAAATAACTTGCTTTCTGTCCTTTGGAGATCCTCTTAACCTTTTTTCATTTTAACTTCAACAAAATATAGCATGAAGAATAGTAAGCATAGTAAGTTACTCATGAATTATGAGGCTGATACTTCTAAAGTGTATAGGGAGATGTATGATTTAAGTGTTTGTATAGGCCAGAATCCTGCAAAAGATTCTGACCCATTCCATCCTTTTCGACTATTAGAGGAAAAAATTGTAGAGAAAAGAGCCTCTCTGAAAACTGCTGTAAGCAATTGTGCTTGCTAATAGGGAAAGAGTTACTAACTCAAGATGCCTAAATCAATACAGATGAATGAAATTGCTATATTACCTAATTTGCTCACTTGAGAACTTTTTTTTTTACTCACTCTACTGTTAATAATGAAATGAGAATAGATGGTATTTAACCAGGGGATTGGAACATCCTAAACTTTGCCCCTTGCAAGATCTCCTAGAGAAATAAACATTCTGCTATCCTGAGGCTTTATCACCACAAAATACTTTAGAAATAAAAAATAATTTTAATCTCCTTGAAGGTTTTTTTAGCCAAATTTACTGGTATACTGGGCTAGAATTAAAAATGGCTAAAGGCTGTCTTTGCATTCTTTACTTTAAATTCAAAACTGAGTGGTCTTATTCCTATTAAATAAGTGATGCCCATGCAGCTGTCAAAGAAGATGTGCAAGTAGGAGATGTACATTGGAATATGAATAATGAATAAGAGAGACTTTGTCCCAACTCCTGGAGCAGGACTAGTCTAGATCATCTGTTCCAGGCTTTCTCAGTTCTTTTGTACCTGCTGCTTGGAAGGATGGATATTTTCAGAGAAAGACAGTTTGCCTCAGTGACTAGAGTTGCTCACCAAGTCATTATCAGATCAAGCCAGAGCAACTTCTGAATAGGAAGGAGTACAACTGCTTAAACTGCATAGCACAGAGAGCAAAGTAGAGAACACAAGAAGATTGCTGTTAGTCTTCATTTTTATGGAAACAAGACAGAAGGGAGAGGAGAGAAGAAAAGAGACATTAAGATAGAGCCATCTTCTACCAGTGATTAGACATAGAGCCTTATATCTGTGACTGAAGATCCCAAGACATCACACTCAAGAGAAAATACCATACCCTTGGCAGCAATGGCAGTAAATTGATCCTCAGTCCTTACCACACACTGTCATCATGCTTGCACCTTGGAAAATGGGAAGGAAGTTAAGAGTTTTTCTTTGTTAACACTTATCTTTGTTCATGAGATTCTCAAATATTTGAAATCTGTAAATTCTTTAATATTATTAATTTCTATCATTTTCCTCCAAAGATATTAATTTGTACTGATTGGGTAACACTAGTTAGTACTAATAAAGCATACAAATAAGAGAAAGTGGTTAAATAACCTTTAAACTGAATGTTTGACTCTGTATGCTATTGGGCAGACCTTCACTCATCCTAGCTTCAAATCTTTCTAGTCAGCTTAGCTCTTGTCTTATGCTTTTTTTTCCCTGCCCTGAACTCAATCCTGAAAGCAGCAACATAGCACAGGTAGGTCACTGTAAGGCCCACTCTGATCCCTTCATTGTTCCTCAAAGCTGTTAGGTTCCTACTCTCTCTTCCCTCCTAGAATATCTGACGGTATCAGCTGTGGAAAGGACATTGGACATACTTCCTGGTATAAAGGTAATTGGAAAGGAAAGTACAAATTTATGTCCTGAAATTCTTTATAAATCATATAGGCAACCCTTCCTTTATAAAAATTGCTTAGACTTTGGCTGTAAAGTGAAATGGATTATTTAAAGTGTCTACAATAATATAGAGGTACAATGAATGCCTTATAGAAAATAAAAAAGTATATTGAGCTAATGTCAGAGGAATGATTTGGAGAATCTTTTTATTGCAAAGTACATGTCTGAGAAAAAGCATTAAGGAAAGAGATTTAACAAGCCTTTTTAAATTTTAAACTTTTAGAAATTAAAGAATAGCATACATACAGAAAATGACTCTGCCATCTTTTGTGTAGTTAGGTTTCTTCACATAAAGCAAGACCAAGTAATGGAAGATTCTCCCCACCTAAGAACCTACTGTATTAGCTACATAATTTTGAGATTCTCCCGTTGGGGATTTTACTTTTGTTATAAGATCTCATTGGTAGCCATATATAGAGAGATTTCACGATTAGCCATATGTATATCTATTTATATAACAACAACACAAATCTTAGCTCTTGGATCACTTTCCCAGTGTCATCAGCAAATATACATATGGGTTCTTTATGTAAATCAGTTACCACAAAATGAATTATGCCTCATTAATTCACAATCAAAAGTTAGGATTTTCATCAGAAATAAGTTCATGAGTATTGGAGTACCATTGTAAACTATATATGACTCTCTGTATGATATTCTGTGCTGTATGCTATTTCACAGTTTTAATAAACTCTAGTTTTAAATTTATTTAATGCATGTTGCCTTGAGTTAAAAAAAATTAAAAGTTATCTATCACGGCTTCAGAACATTGCTTCTATTTTATCACACTGCTCAAGGTCTTCAATGATCCTCTGTTGTCTACAGGGCTGTCTTTACCTTCTGTCCACAGTCATATTGCCTGACTTTGTCTCTTACTATTCCTTCTGTCCCTCCTCCCCTACTTCAGCAGTAGATGCCAGTTTATCCTAAATGGGAATATATCAGTTAAGGTCAACCTTAATTAACTGTCAATGAAAAACTCTTGTTTTGTTTCCTTTCAAATGTGCATATTAAGTCCATTAGGCTGATATATCATATGCTCCCTTTCTGTCCTTTCCTATCACTGTACATTATTTTCTTACATTTCTGCCACCTTTGGAATGACTTTTTGTTTTCATGCAATCTCTGTAATGCCACCAGGGCTTAGTTAAAGGCCTTTTTTTATGGAGCCCTCCAATATTAACATAGCTAGCTTAAAGTGCTTTCCTCTTCCTCAGAAATTTTCCTATATTATGCTGGCCAATAATATGTATTGCTTTTTTAAAATATCAATTGTGAGTTTATATTGATATTTGATATCATTTAGTTTTCCGTATGTTTTTATCTTGTTTTCCCTCTTAGACTATTGAAATAACTCGAGTGCGAGGACTATGTCATGTATAGTCCTGATATATGTATATGTGTTTATATATATGTATGCATACACAGACATAACTATTTTAATTGATTATTAATAGATTTGGATGTGTTTTTTTGAAACAGCTTTACAATGAGTTACATATTTGTTTTGAAACCACAAAATCAAGTGAAGCTATTCTCCGGCAAAGTGTTGTTAGTCTTCAGGATCAGCTATTTCAAAAAGAGCAAGAAAATGCTAAATTAAAAGAAAAACTTCAGGAAGCACAAGGAGCATTGTGTTCTTTACCTCAACAAAGTGATTCAGACCACTCAGAACAGGTGAGAGACTTTCTAAAAATGTTGCCCATTGCAATATCATATTAAATCATCTCCTACAATTGACTAAAACATAAACAATTTAAATAATTTTGCAAGTATTAGAGTGTAAGTTGTGGCAGACAGTTTTGTGTTGTGCTGTTTTTTATACTCTGTTATACATGAGTATCATACACAATATGGATTCATATAGAAATGCATGTACAGGTTATGTCTGGTATAGTTATTGTGATTAAAAATTTTGCTGATTTACACTAATGAAGAGAAAATTAATAAAGTCATGGCCATTTTGAGAATTTTTAACTGAATGAGTTAATGGAATAGAAAGAGTACTGAATAGGAAGTGTCATAAAGTACTTGTTATAATGCCTGGTATATGGATAGTGCTTAATACCTTTTAGTCTAGATTCTGCTACTGTCTGATGTGTGATTTTAGACAGTTCCGTTGAGCTTTCTACCTATATCCTGTGCTATTAAGTGAGGTAGTATAAATGTATAGATAAATATGCAGGTTCAGAATTCAAATAAACCTGGGATCAAATTACAGCTCTGCCTGTGAGTTTTGTGTACTTGAACAAATTTCTTTAACCCTTTTAGCCAAGTTTCCTCACAGATAAAATGTTGATATTAGTGGTATTTATGCTATAGAGTTTTTGAGGATTAATGTTATAATGCAGGTTGGCATGTAGCAAATATTCATTGGTACTTCTCTTTGGATAATCTTTAAGGTAAGTTTCACCTCTAAATATGTTTGTAAACAATATCTTCTGCCTATAAATTTAAGTGTTTTTAGGCACTCAGCATTCCAGATATTAGTATTTATTAATTTAGTTCAGAAATGGAATTAGCACAAGCAGATAATTGGGTGCTTGAATATTTGTTAATGATTGAAGAACAGTAATTTTTGAACCTAGCATATTTTGCTTGCTAACCAACACCTCAACCTTAACACAGTTTTTTAAATTTGTATTTTATTATGATGCATTTTTTGGACATCAGGTTCACAGAATTTCATTAATCATAAAATGTATATCATGACAGTGTTATGTTACATGCATATGTCTGTTTAATTAATTAGTTTGTTTATTATAATAAACACCCTTCGTTGCACCAAACTAATCCAAAGACTAAAACATTACTAAAGACTGATATTTATTATTATGCCCCTTCCTTATCTGGTACCCTGATTCTGTCACCAGATAGAGCTACTAAACTGTTTATCATTTTAATGATTTTTTAAGTTTTAACACATATAAATTTATGTGGAAATAGTATATTGTTTAGTTTTGTCATTTATAAAAATGTATCATAATGTGTTGCTGACTTGGGGTTTGGCAATTTTGGCTCACTATGTTATTAAGATTCATCTATGTTGTTTGGTATAACTGATCATTTATTTTTAGCAATTTAAAATATTTTATTATATGTGATTATATTATAACTACGTGCACACTCATTTATAGATGGGTATTTGGTTTATTTCCAGTTTTTGGCTATTATGAATAATGCTGCAATTGATATTTTTATACATGCATGATTCTTGGTACACATGTACATGCATTTTTGTGGAATATATATCTAGGAATGAACATCCTAGGTTTAGGGTGTGAAAAGTTACTTTCAGAAAATGCTGATAACTTATTTTCAAAATTATTTTTTATCAGTTTTACTCCCACCAACAGTGTTCAGGAGATATGATTGATTCTCATCCTCCTCAGCACTTGGTATTGTCAGACTTCTTAGTTTGTTGACAGTTGATTAGTATAAAATAATTTCATTTTGATCTGCATGTGCATATCACTGATAAAGCATATCTCCAGGTGATTATTAGCTGTATGTGTCCTTCCTGTGCAAAATGTCTGTGTCTTTTAAACCTTCTATTGGATTTTTAAAATTGAATTGTAAAGGTCTTTTATGTTCTTGAAATAATCTCTAGTATGTTAGATGTGTGGCAGGTATCTTATCTCAGTGTGTGTCTTGTCTTTTCATTTTCTTAAAGCTATCATTTGATGAACAGAAATTCTTAAAATTTTTATTTAGACAAATTAATCTTTTATAGTTAGTTCTCTGGTATCTCATTTAAAAATCCTTCTCTACCCCAAAGACAGAAATAGTTGCACCTCTGTTTTCCTCGACGATTTTTCAAGCTTTGCTTATATCATGTATATTCTAATTTAGTCAGAATTGTCTTTTGCCCATATTATAAGGTAAGGACCCATTTTTATTTATTGATTTTTTCCTAAATAGTAACTAGTTTTTCCATTTCAGCCTGTTGAATGATCCCCTTTTTTTCTTGTTTCATGCTAGGTTACCTTTCTCATATATCCTAGTTCAGTATATTTGTGAATTTCTTTCTAGGTTTTGTGTTCTTTGTATTTCTTTGCAATGCTATATTGTCTTAATTAGTATAGCTCCGTAATAAGTCTTTATTTGGTAGTCTACTACTACTTTCTTAGTGTTTCTAAAGTATCTTGTCTATGTTAGGACTTAGCACTTAAATATAACTTCTAGGATAATTTATAAAGTTTCATGAAATAAAAAATAAAGTATACAGATAGACTTATTTCAGGGAAAGACTGGTTAAATATAAAAATTTTGAATTGAAAGTTGTTGTTTTTTATGTATTAAGGACATTTTCCTTAACATTTTATAGCAAAATGCCATAATCATACTATTACTTGGAACTCTATTGTTATATCTAAACTTATTTTTATTTTTAAATTTTTTTATTATTTTTGATTTACTTTTTTTTAAATTTTATTTTTGTTTAAAATATTTCAGATGTCCCTTTTTCTCCCCAATGACCCATTCTACCCCGTCCCATCTCCCTCCCCAGTCCCTCTCCCTACCATTGTCTGTGTCCTTGGGTTGTGCATATATGCATATACATTCTTTGGTTTCTAAACTTATTTTTAAAACACTTATTGATATTTTTGTCATGTGTTAGGCGATGAAGAAACTTGAGGGAACAAAACAAGGTCTTTGCACTCGCAGAACATTTATTCATGTCCGAGTCACTGTCAGACAAGCACATCATGTGGTAATAAGTAAGAAAAATAACACAGCATAAGACAAAGCATGATAGAGAATGGTGGTGCTATTTTGTGTATGGCTCTGAGAGAAAGCTATTCTGATCAAGTGATATTTAAGAAAAAACTGGAGGACGTGAACCATTCAGGTATGTGAGGGAAGACCATTCCAAGCAGAGGGATGGACAAATACAAAGCTCGTGAAGCAGGAGTTTGCTATCACAGAGGAGGCCAGTGTGGCTAGATCCAAGAGAGCTGTGGGGAAAAGAATGAGAGTGACCTAAGAGAGGTAGATGTACAGTCAGGTCTCCTAGGGCCTTGTTGCCACCATAAGGATGTGGACTTTACTCTGAGTGAGATGGAAAGCCATTGCTGTTTTTAAATATAAGAACAACATGGAAGCCATTGGAGTGTTTTAATCAGCAGAGTGATAAGATCTAACATAATGTTTTAAAAGAATCACCTTGGCTGTAATGCAGAAACCAGAGTATAAGAAGGCAAAGATGGGAGCAGGGGGTCAGTTTTAAGAGACAATTGTAATATTCCAGGTGAAACTCAGTGGGTACTTAGATTTGGCTGTGAGACATAATTTGATTTTGGAAATAATTCAAAGGTAGAGACCACAGGATTTGAAGATGGCTTAGATGTGAAGTATGGGAAGAAGGGAGGAATTTAAAAATCCAGCATTTCCAGGCCTAACTACCAGGATGAACGGATTTGCCATTTTCTGAGGAAGAAAGAATACTGCAGCATTTCTCCTGGCAAGGAGGAGGAGGACACTGAAGTTCTATAGAGAGAAGTAGAAGCTTTGAATTAGGAAATAGTGAAAGGAATAGAGAGACATGGATGACTCAGGGTTTCTACCAGTTAGTGACATGTTCTTTATGATATTGACACTGTAACTCTTCAGGATTCATTCCAACTAAACTCACCTCTTCATCCATTGATTCTTTCATCCATTCATCATTCATTGATTCGTGTATTGTTCAGTTATATAGTCCGTATTCATTAAATCCCTACTATAATCTAGGTACTAGTAGCTTTAATGTGAAGGGATACAAAGGTGAATAAGACAGTCTACTCTTAGGAATCTTTTAGATGGGTGTGCAGACAGGAAAATGATTTTTATAGAATGGGCTATAACGGAAGCATAAGCAAAGTCTGAGCTTTGTGGAGAGAAGCTTTGCAGGGAGCATGTTTGTTTTTTTTGTTTGTTTGTTTTTTTAATATGTCTTTATTGATTTCAGAGAGAGGAAAGGAGAGGGAGAGAGAGATAGAAACATCAATGATGAGAGAGTCATTGATCGGCTGCAGCCCGCAACCCGGGCATGTGCCCTGACCGGGAATCGAACCCTGATCGCCTGGATCGTAGGTCGGCGCTTAACCGCTGAGCCACGCCCGGCGGGGCGGGAGCATGTTTTTGGAGAGAAGGGGCATTGCTAAAGTTTTCAGAGAGAAAGCGGAACGTCAGTTTGAAAATTCTTTAGGAGTTTCTTGTTAGAAGTGAATGAGCGTAGGCTCAGGGGTGAGAAAGATTATTGAGAATAGTCTACTTCAGTGTTTCTCAGACTTGATATGCATCCAGATCACCCAGAGTGGGGTGTTATAAAACATTCTGATTCAGCAGGTCTGAGCTGGGGTCTGAGATTCTGAATTTCTTTTACATGTGATGCTGTTATAGCTGGCCAGGGGTCACCCTTTGATTAATAAAAGACTAAGTAGGCAGTGGATTATACAGTTGAGGGGAAATGGTGGGAAGATTTTGTTCTTTCATTTCTGTTATCCCTAGGTTATTTTTTTCAAACACTTGTATTGGGAGTTTTCTGTGCATATTTCTTGGAAGGTATATTTACAGAGTAATAGATAATATAAATTCTGGAATCTGGATCCCTTGTCTGTGTTACCTTATACAAGTTACTTAACTTTAGAGAAGTTAAGTCTCAGTTTTGTCATTTGTAGAATGGGTATTATCAT